TGGATATTTTTATGCATGTTTTCCATGGAATATAATTGAAGTTTTAAGGGCACCGAAAATCAATGAGAAAAACACATGCTACTTAAGTAGTCGCTCTTTGCAGAATATAATTTTTAAGTGTGGTCGGAGAGAAGTTTTTTGGAAAGCCGGCATTTCAAAGTAACTTAATTATTATAGAATTATGCTGTTCGATGATTTGTTTTACAACCCTCTTTAATTAATATTTTCGAAACGGAAACGCTTTTCGAAATTTCGGTTGACATTGCGTGAGTTAGCCCACCTGAAATATATGTATTCCAAGTGAGCTTATAAACCTTGCTGTTGTGGTTAGGATCTTGCCCGATTTCATCCTGTCCTCCAACCAGCCTCCTTTCTAACGGTAACAAACGTTGTCCCGCGGGACACATACCACATGTAATATGTTATCCTATAATGTACTGATCACCGGCAACGACCGCAAAACAGAGGCCTGCGTCCGGCCTGCTGCACTCTTATCAGACTGTTTACGCATAATATATGTGTATATGAGAGCATGACTGTCGCGCCCGACGATTTCTATCGTGTACGGCAAAGCAAGTTGGAGCAGGCGCTGTGAGCTGCGCGTGAATAAGTTTATGGTGGATGTAGATTTGCACAGCATCTTCTGCCCTCTCTCCTCCGCCTCACCTAAGCCCGGTGTCAACACATAGTCAGGAAGACCGGAGGTGAGGGAGGACGCAGGTGGCTAGCACGGCCGGGTCCGCACCCAGACATACCACCACACTCCCTGGTCCACAACCAGCAACTGACCAGGATTTTAACCCATAACAGTAGCTTCACGGCGGGTCCAAAGTGTGGCGAGCATGCTCACGACCTGTATTCCAAGCGGGAGCGTAAGCGCATTTACCAGCGGAGAAATGGGTGTCAGAGAACGGCCAACGCACACCAGGCTGAGAGAGCCATGGGTTACTGATCCTGGGATAGTAGACTATTACAACCCTTGGTGGCATGCAGTGCTGCATTTGCCTGGGTCATCAACCCTCAAATGCTGGCCAACCAATAAGGCATCGACTGAGAGGCACTACCCATGTACATATACAAACTCCTCACATGCGTGGGAGTGCCAAACGTCACATTGAGAAGGGGCAATTGCAGCCTGACTCTCAGCCCACCAGTCTACTACTCCACACAAATACACACACAGCTGGGCAGACTGTGTGGACTTAGTCGAGGTGTCAATCGGCAGTCTTGCTAGCCACGGCGCTTGACTCACCATGGTATTCGCAGACTTGGGTCTCACATGCAGCAGAACAGCCGAGAAGAATATTTCCCACTTAAGTGATAGACGCCGACTGAAGGCTTGCACTGTGTGCCAATGGATGATCTTTGTTGCGTGGTTCTAGTGTTGGTGGGGATGTGATGATGTGGTGTAGCCGGCGATTGTTTACCGCAGGTTTTCATGAATGGGCATGTGGCCTAGCAGAATGTTCGAGGACAGTAAGGGCAGTTGAGGCGAATAGTCTGGTGCATGTTGGTGCTCTAGACTCCGATTCACCAGTCTCCGTGCGATGGATTCGCAGGTGACCATCAGGCCAATTTGAGTGGTGAATGTACGGGGACAGTGTGGACGGGATAAGTCGCTGACGTCAGAGTAGGTTACAGTGATGATGATGATGATGATGATGATGATGATGATGATGATGATGATGATGATGATGATGATGATGATGATGATGATGATGATGATGATGATGGTACAGCTGTTAATTGTGGGCGCTCCGGACGATGAGGTGTTTATTGAGTTAGACATATTGGATCTGCAAGATTTCCTAGGTGTGTCGATATAATGGTTAACTCCGCTTTCGTGGATACACATGTGACCGAAAATGCCCATGCGGCGAGTAAATGTGCGGGAGCATTGAGAGCAGTGTAGGCAGATACGGAGAGTGTAGCTGTGTGCCCCAGGCAGTGGTTCGCCAGGCTCAGTGCGATGGATGTGCAAGTGGCCGACCAGGCCAATGTGCGGGTCGAGTGTGAAATCGCAAGGAAGACAGATGTGGACCGAGTTCACACCGCTGAAGGTGAGGTGGCAATGGTGAATATGCCGACGATCGTCACGCTGTCAGGAGCGTCTGGGTTGTCGGCGATGTTGAGAGATGAGGTTGTGTTCGACGTTGTTGTCGTAGTTGAGTCAAAGGTCGTGGAGGCGTTAGTGGCCGATGGCAAGGAGGCACGGGGATTCAAATCATCCGTGGTGAGGGTTGGTACCGAGGTGGTCGTCGTGGAAGTTGAAGTAGGCTCGGTCGTGGAGGCAGCAATTGCGGTCGTCGGGCGGTTGATGCATTGGATCCAAAAATGAACGACGAGACTGATCCGCTCGCGAAGTGTTCGTTGACAGCGCGGGCGCGCCGGGTGGAGCTCGATGGCGACGTTGCGAATCGGAGGCCCCTGAGAGTTGCGAGTCACCAAATGCATAGTCGAAAGCTTATAGGGCAATTTCGTTGAGATCTCCATGCAACGTGTTATAGGGCTGTTCAAAATCTGTCTTAGGAGCTACTGCCAACTCGATAATAAGCATTACCAGCAGCTGGAATGGACCCTAATGGGCTTTTCAGTATCATGTTTACTCGCCGAAATAGTACTGTAGCAACTAGAAGTCCAAAATGTGGCTTAACACTGTATATGGCATTTCCGTCGTAATAAAGAGCTGCGAAGTCGACAAGCTACATCAGAGTCCAGACGCTGTCTTCCTGGCCATACAGTTCACCCATTAAGAGGCGGTAGGAGATAGTCTGCCGTTTCTGAACGTAAGAATACAATGGTTGGTAATGATAAACTCGCGGCGAGCCTCTGCAGTAAAAGATCAAACTCTGGGCATACCCTCAATTATGAAAGCAACCACATTGCAGCTAAGAAAAGAAGCTGTGTCCTAAATCTGTTCCACCGGACCTATTATCACTGAAACAGAAACAGTCCCCCTTAAAAATAGCTCGCTTACCTGCATCGACTGTTTCGATCTCACAAATATCCAGTTACTTATGCGAAGAACAGTCCTAGGCATCAGGCACAGCCATAAGACTCCACCCCCAGCAGAGAAATCGTGACAAGAAAATTCTACTTCCTGTCTTATATGCAGAGAGCCCGGCGGTTAGATCGCTTTGATATTTACGTTGCCCATAAACTAACATCATCACAATGCGCAGCACTATCTCGAGCCAAGGATCCCATTTCCGAGATCAACAAACAAACATAATTTACCGCTTCCCGTGAGCGAACTACTCCAGCGTGTATGTTGGTCATACGGGTCGACGCCCAGAGACCCTTATTAATGAACGCGACCTGGCAGTTTGTCGGCGAGACCCTCTGTCCCTCGTCTTTACGCGCGCACTCCGGTGGGAGCACAGATTTCACTGGGATGGCATTAAGGTCGGCGCCATGGGTAACACAAAAGAAACGAGAGAGTTTCTCGAAGTCTAACACTTTAATGTGGGTAGTGTCAATCGTCATGTCGACCTGGACGACCACTGCGAGGGGCCACGTTCACGACTGATCGACTCCTGCCTTAGTCGCACATCAACGACCGCTAATACAGCCGCCCAGAGCCCATCATCCACCCTCCCCTCCAGCACTAGGAGCCGTAATTGCCCCGCCTTCCACCCTCTCCCCTCGTTTAGAAACCTAACATGACTGTGTGACTACCCATCTCAAACGCCAATGGTTTGTCTGTCCTGTTGCGCCAACTCGTCTAGTATGGAAAATGGACTTTCTCCTTTGCTTTCATTTCGTCTGCCGACGAGTTATTGTAATCAGCTCAAAAGCATAAGAGTAAAACTTGGTTTTACGACGAACGCCTCCCTAGTTTTGTGTACGTACATAAAAATATATTCAATCAAGGAGGAGTGCACACCGGTCTACTGGCTTGTTTGCTTCGGGAACGCAATGCGCCGGTGTGCGTCCATCCTTAAAAGGATGAATACCTGATCTGCAGCAACAGAGCATGTTAGCTGGCGAGGCACTGATGAACTTCGGTTCAATGAAGTGGGTTTATGATCCATCTGTAAGACCCCATATGTGGACCATCTGAGCCGTGTAAGCGCACATGTTTGTGTTTCTGGTCCCAGTTGGTGTTCAGGGACATGATTGGTTTAATAAAAGCAAGAGGCCCGAAACAGTACGGTATTAATTTACCCACATTCTCTGTCGTCCCTTCTCTCTGCTATATATAAACATACATATGGATTGGAAAACGGGCATCTCAAGGAATACACTTCGAAGTAAATAAGTCCCTTATGAAAGATAACAAACTTTATTTGGTAAATTTTCGACTCCGGTCCTCCAGGTCGACCTCAGACGTAAAGCAAGTGTTCACAACAGTTCAAATTTAAACATGCCAAAATTAGATATTGCTCTGTCACTCCTGCCAGTCGGCCTTTACTTGTAGGTTGGCATCGTGTTTTAATTGGCCGTCGTCTCTTCCATTTTTCTTTGATAATATTGTACACGGCTTCTAATTCGATGTGCCGACTGATGCACAAGTTGTCAGAATGTATGGCCTCTAAAAATTCACGGGTTTTATTGCTTCACTAGACACTTTTTAATGCGAGTCTTGTTGCAGACAAATTTATGTCCAGTTTGCAGCATAGGCATGACAACTTCGCATTCATTCCTCTGGATTTGCAAGACAATGAACAGAAGAACGTCTTCAGTACTACAACACGGCTATTCTGGCATTTGCTTGGCTAGAACTCTTGGACCTATGTCTGGAAACGAATTTCTCATTTGCACGGGAGCACTACTGAAACAAGCCCCTATGCGATCGCCCATCTCTGGCTTACTCGCAGCAGTCATGATGCAAATATTAGAAACTATCGCCCTACCATTAGTTAACCCAAAATTATGGGTGGGTTTTGTTGATAATAACCTTATTGTTGTTAAAAGAGACAGAGTGGTATTGTTTCACAGCATTATCAACTCAACTCTCCCAGGAAAACCATTCGCGCTTAAGAAAGAGGTTGACAGAAAACTCCCATTTCTTAATGTCCTTGTACAGAGAAAGACTAACGGAACAATACACACATCAGTTTACCGCAGAGAAATTTGCGTGGAAGTTCGCTTGCATTATGAGAGCAGTCACCCGATCTCTCACAAACGGAGTACCGTGAACAGCCTCTACAATCGATCAAAAACTCACTGATCTAACAATGAAACTTAATAAACAGTATCTAATTATTTGTTCAAACTGTTTTGCCAGAATGGGTATCCAAGATATCTTGTATATCGACGCATAAGACCGCAGAATTCGAAAGAAAAAGACGAAGAACTATTTTTTTCTGACCATGCTCCTAAACCAAGGAACTATCGAACGCTGCCGTACGTTAAATATGCGTAGGAACTATGTGCAAGATACCTAAGGAAGCACCAAATACACGTGGCACACAAACCAACGACTGCACTTCGTAGCCAGCTTGTAGACCTTAGGGATAGGGCTGACTGTTTAGAGAAAAAATAAGTCTCCTTAAAGATACTATGCGACAACTGCAATTTAGGTTGCTGCGGTCAAGCGATAAAATCAGTTACCACACGCATACACAAACATCAGTTGGCGGTAAGAAGACAAGACCACTTGTCCCAAGTTGCCGTGCATATGCTGAAAACTGGAGATAAATTTGTCTGCAACAAGATTCACATTAAAAGGTTCTGCTCAAGCAAGAAACCCCGTGAATTTTTAGAGCACATATATTCTGACAACTCGTGCATCAATCGCCGCATCGAATTAGAAGCCGTATACAATATTATCAAAGAAAAGTCGATGAGACGATAGCCAATAAAAAGACGATGCCAACCTACAGTGAAGGCTGACTGTCAGGAGTGACAGAGCAATATCTATTTTTTGCATGTCTAAATCTGAACTGTTGAGCGTACTTGCTTTACGTCTGAGGACGATGTGGCGAACTGCAGTCGAAAATCTACTAAATAACCTTTGTTATTTTTTAAAAAGGAGTTATTGTGCTTCGAAATAATTATATGTCGAAATATATTTCGTAGTGTTATCGGCGAGTGTCCCTCCGCTATTATATGCACTTATGTTTAGCGAAATATGTCGCAGCAATTATATTGCCTGTGCTCTTTTTAACTATGGGATGATAAAGAGTTAGTATTGTCTAAAATACAGTGTTGGCTTTGTGCGGCAGCTCTTCCACAAGATACGAAATACTGAAGTCTGATGTGCTTCTGCAACGTTTCTTAATAAATCTGATTTTTTTGACTTACTGATATACCCAAACTGATTCATTAATCTTATCATGCGTTGGTAGGTATCTTCCTAAGAAACGAACCTTGGAGTTTGTTGACACCCTAAACCGCCGGTTTTTAGTTTGCTTATTGATTCTTCTGTGACAGAAAGATACATAACTGAATCTTCCAGCAATCGCAGCTACTCTTAGTGTGTTCTAACCTAACCTGTACGGATGGTAGTTTTCTCGATCGCCTGAGATCAAATCTTTGATTATACAGCGCAAGATTGATGACCCCTCGTATTACAGGTGGCCTCTCGCTAAATGCCGGAGCGGTAACGGCTGACGTTACCGTTAAGGTTGGTGTTGGATTTAGGACACGAGAATAGGTACCTCATTTGCAAATAGACGCATGATCGGCTGTAGAGTGGGAGTACATATCCCATGTCCAATCGCTTTAATCTTATTTCTCTGGTGGGCCGACATAAATCAGGATAGAGATTTAATGATAATTTTGATAAGAGAAATTTTTCATTTGAATCTTTCATCATAAAATCTTCATCTCTACTGCCGGGCAGGTGGTGATAATGGCAGATAATTTTCACTAGAACAAACACAACATCAACTCTTAGCTATGGAACGAAGTTGATGACTCATACTTTACATTCCACTGTGGGTGAATTTAAGTGTATTTTCTTAATTTTAAAATGAAATATATGCAAGACCGTAAAAAACGTCAAGTTCACTAACAAACTCGACGAATTTTCTTTATATATTCTCGTCTGAAATCATTTTTACGTATTTTTATTTGGTCTTGTTCACGTGAAAGACGGTTGTTTAGGCAATGATGTTTTGCTAAATGGCTGCCGATTATCAATTTTCATATTTGTGTAATTACAAGGCAGGTAGCGCCCTCTGTGCCAACTTTGTTATCTCCTCAGTCTTTTAGAAATACTTATTAAATCATTTAAATCACCGACTGTGTCCTTTTTTCCGACAGTAAATGTCAACCCATTTTGGGAAGCGTGGTTAGCACGATTTCCATTGATATTATGGCGGTTCTCTAGACGAGTAGCATCATAAAAACGCTGGGAAAGATTAGCAGTTGGCTGTTCCATAACTTACAACAGTTTTGTGTATCAAGTAAATAACTTCCTTAAGGATTATTAGTGTGAAAAGTGCACGCGAAGCACATAGTTTGGTAGGCTAACAACACCTGAGCAAACAAGATCCAAACGCCAT